TTTCTGCGCTCAGGCTGACGTAAGTAACCGGAAGTGAAATTTCACCTCCTTAGCAACGAGCGCGAGCGCGCGCATAAATCGGTTAATGGGCCCTTAAAGTCGTTCTTGACTTGACCAGTGCATTTGTAAGCTCTCCCCAGATCTCCAATACTAAATTTAGCAGTTACATGTTTCAAACCCCTTAGGTCTACATTCTTCTCTTTTCAGAACGAGACGTTCGTAATCTTAAATGAATCCGAGTCTTGTTGGAGCTACGATATGGATTTTACATATAATGTAAGTTTTATATTGTCATAGTCAGTAACAATATATGTTTATGTATGGGTGAAATAAAACAACATGGCAAAAATCAACAAATAGCTCTTTCTCCCTCTCTTATTAAAAGTTGTAAGAGGTTAAGAGCCACTGCCTCTAAATTTGGAGAAATGACCAACGCGTAAATTATTAACTGTGTGAATATGAAATCAAGGCAAGCTTCCTTCTTTCTGTACTGGCCTGTTGAAAATGAGGACGACAGCCTAATGAGTTCCGACGAGAGTGCTTTCCATATGCGTGGAAAAAACCGCCATATGAAACAGCAGAAGGTTTTAATAAACAAAATGAAACTGAACGTTGACAGCATTTGGAAACCTTCCAGTGAAAAGGACTGTTTCATGATCATTTTATGTCCCACCTAAACCGTGCGGCTGCGTACTTCATCAAGGAGCATCGGAATAGTGTGAAAAAGCAAATGGTACAGTAATTTTCTGATCATTCCGTTAACAACGAGAAAAGAGGGATACCTCAGAAGGTATTCCAAATTGTCCGAAAATTTTCCAAGGAAAGCGGTTTTTCCATCTAAATTGAAGCGCTCATTCTTCTTTTGGAACAAGAGATAACATCCCTCAATGCATATTGGGAAACCGACAATCTTCCTTTCTGCAAAGCTTCGTTGTACTCTCTGCAATATATCACAAACATTTTTCTAAAACTCCGCTGTAAAACCGTCTTTACCTTCTAAACATTGGGCAACACCTTTCAGGGATGGCGGAGTGTATTTTGAATTGGGTAGGGCTTACAAGCGAGCGCCAGAGGCGCTAACTTGTAGGGGGTCTGGAGATATTTGTAAAATTATCGTTTCATGTATTTTTTGTTTGAAAATGGGAAAGAGGGCTAAAGTCGTTCCTGTCTTTTTATTTCTTCGAGGGACAGGCGATGTTTAGGCGTTGTTTGATCCTCGTTCGTCAGTTTAGAGAATTCTAAGTTATGTTTTGAATTGAAGAGAACGCATTAGGCCGAGAGCGATTAAAGGAGGCCTAGATATTCGCGGAGTAAGAATGCATGGGCACATTATTGTAGAATGTATAGACATGCAGTTTTAATAACAATCACGGCATACAATGACACTCTCCCTCAAATGTGAGATAACAGGTCTCATATATTCGCGCTGTAGAATTATTTGATTATCTCATTTGCTTTGTTTGATATCTTGTTCTGGTAACAATGATTATTATATTTATTGTTCATTTATTTATTTATTCTTCCTTGCTGACAAAAGGTAGTCGTACTTCCATGTTTCCGTGGCTTCACACATAAAGGTAAGCCTGCGCTGATAGAGTAGAATTCTTAAATTAAAGGCTAATTGTCCTTAAAGCTAAAGGCACACCTGAAGGAATTTACTATCCATACAGGACAATTATGTAAACATTATTTTGTAGCTTTTAGCTGGTTTTCCTTCTTGTCCTCTCGTTTGAGGAATGGAAATGTACTCCCCTTTTTTACGGTACAGCATATTCTTGGGTCATCTAAGCTACGTGCATTTTTAGTAGTACCCATTAATTATTTAAAAAAGAGTAACAAGTGAGAAAAGTGATCAATCTGCTCTTTTTTAATCACTTATATTATATATTTGATACAGATAGAAAGATTATATTTTCACGCAACTGAGAAAAAACTTTGAAATCGATGAAGATTAATCTTTTAAGACTATTTTTATCGATTTTCGTTGGAGAATTAAAAATCAATACGAAAGGATGACTAATCCTCGTTTTCCTTTACAAAATTTTAGATGAGTTTTACCAGAATCGAATTTTTTATCCAGCTTTTATTGGTGCTTTTGATCAAAACTTTGCAGTTCTGGAAGAATCGGGGTATAAAAATGCAAAAATTGTCTTAAGAACCGTAATTGCTCAAATTTGAGCCCAGGACGCTAAAATGTATTTTCGATAGCTCAATGGAGGGTGGTTACTTTGAGAAAGAGTACTTTATATTAGGGATGGGCGCTAGCTTCTTTTGGGACACAAGTATTTGATTGTGATAAAGCACTCAAATGTACAACAATAGAGACTTGAACTCGAGAACTGTGGCAATAGAGAAAAGAAGGGGAACGGGAACGAGCACGAGAACGGGAAGAGTGCCGGCATGATAAGTCACTTAGCTTCGAAACGAGGTTCACTGTACCGCTTCTCATTCAAGGAAAATAAGCAAACCTTTTTCTTACCTTGTTTTAGAACTACCTTGGATTCACTCTTCAACGGCAGCACCGAAAATCACAGGTGAGCTATCCAAGAGGATAAAATGAAGAATAAATTCTGACCACCCTCCGTTTAGCAAGTTTAAGCTAGCGGATAACCAAATGTTTCTCAAGGCCATCATCAAATATTCTGAGCTACGGATTTTAACCACATAAGTACAGTACAGAGATGCATCCTGAAATACACTCTCCATTGGTGCGATTACCTATATATATTTAGTTAATGTATTTTATTATTTTTACTGAAATATTACCTCATCGTGATTGGCTGAGAGCTGGCCCATTTATTATTAATTCTTAATTTGCACTGCAGTGCAAATTAACGCGCACGTGTTCGTAATTTTCTCAATCATATAATAAATAAGTAATCGTATGAAAACTCGCACAGTTAAAGATTTACACTACTCGTGATATTTGAAAATTCTTTCAAATTTTGAGAGAATTTAAAATATCACTTCTAGCTAGTGTAAACTGCTTCATTGAACTCGCATTCATACCTTTACTTATACTTATTTATTTTATATCTTGTTTGTGTAATAATTATTTAGNAATTACACTCTCAATTGGTACGATTACCTATATACATTTAGTTAATGTATTTTATTATTTTTACTGAAATGTTACTTCATCGTGATTGGCTGAGAGCTTACCAATTTATCATTAATTCTTAATTTGCACTGCAGTGCAAATTAACGGGCGCGTGTTCGTAATTTTCTCAATCATATAGTAAATGAGTGATCGTATATAAGGTCGCGCAGTTAAAGATTTACACTACTCGTGATATATATTCTTTCGAATTTTGAGAGAATTTTTAAATATCACTTGTAGCTAGTGTAAACTGCTTAATTGCACTCGCATTCATACTTTTACCTATACTTATTTATTCTATATCTCGCTTTTGTAATAAATATTTAGGTGGCAGTAGGGTTTGTATTTAAAAAGATATATATCAATGCATAAGAAGATGTATATTGATTGATTGGTTTATTCATTTCAACCACTGTGCCCACTACAAATCAAATACGCAGCACAGGTAATATAGCCAGGAAGATGAATTGAAGTTTTTATCCGTCATGTCTGTCAGAGCGTGTATCAAACACAATATCAGGAAACGGGCTTCCGTAAAGAATCAATTTCTTGGTTTTCACCTGACGTCACGGCGGCCATGTTGGAGCCAAAAATTTAACCTCTGGAAATTAAACTCTATTTTTATGCAAATCTTTTCTTTGTTTCGGTGAGAAAAACAAAACAAAACAAAAACAAAAACAAAACAAACTATAAAAATACAAGAATGAAAAAAGATTTTGGTTTAAAATTTCTATAAATTTAAAATCGAAAATCTTGCTTAATCGGGTATTCAGTTTCGTTTTAGAGAGACACCAAACTGTTCCTCGATAAATGTTAGGAAAAGGTACAAAGTTTGACCACCACAGCTTGAATATTGTTCAGGAGCACTTTGCGCCGCTCTTCACCCCGCCCCCCGCCCCACTCCCTAGGATATATAGGGTTAAAGTGTCTGTGATTTTCATCCCTGACCTGGTGAGTCTGCCAAACGTGCCGTCATTTTAGTAGTCGATTTTTTAGTGCTTGACTGAGAGGCACTTATTTACTTTCCCGGCTTTGTATCTTAATCCTACCTTCTTTATGCTTTCTTTTATACCTTCTTTATTCACAGCAGTGGATCCGAGAGGTGGATAAGACGAATTTACCTCAAGAACTAATTTCCCAAGAGCTTTTAGTTGTGAAATAGACATGAAAGTGCAATAATGTTTCATTAATGACTATTAATGCACTTCATTTCAGTGGGTAATCCCTGACATTTTAAGTACAGACTAAAACGTCAGAACCGCCTCAAGCTTGTCCGGCATATAATTAATAAACAATACGTTTACCTTACTGGTACACCCGAGGGAGTTCACATATGCAAAACGCTCACCTTGCATTTGTGCGGAATCAGTAAATAGTACAACTTAAAAGAACCGCTCACTGGATTTCATTCGAATGGTCACAAACTGGGGATTTCGGCATCACTGACTAAACACTGTAACTGAACGAAAGAGTTAAGGATTATTCCAGCTGAAAGGCATTTACCGAGAGAACTGGAAGGGAATTATGTACTGTATGGATACAGTACGAACACTGAAATACTGAAATACGGAATTAATAAAGAGCTTTCTCCAGAGCTGATGTTCAATGATAGTCTTGTTTTTTTTTCTTTTTTAAGCCTTTTCAGCCCCGAATTCAAGACCTTTTGTCAGTTGATGATTTGGCGGTACATCAAAACACAATCATTTCTTGTTGATGTTCTTTTTTTTTTCTGATGAGTTGTTATTATAACGAGAAATAAGATTTTAAACACGCCTGGGAATTTAATGGCCTAAAGCAGCGTCCACACTACGCCGGAGAAATTTGAAAACGCAGCTTTACTTCTGTGGTTAGGCCTACCGTCCACACTAATCCGGCACGAAAACGGAGCTTCTCGAAAACGCTCTTCAAACCGGAGGAATTTGAAAATGCCGGCCTTTCGCTTTCGTGTGGACGGAAAACATTTTGAAAACGGAACTTTTGAAAAACGTCACGATAATCATGTGATTTCCCTGATCGAGGTTTCCTCATACACAAATCCAAAATAACCCGTGATTGTTACGTTTTTAAATTCCTCCGGCGGAATGTAGACGGAAAACATGTGATGCGTTTTCAGAGTGAAACATCCGTTTTCAGATTCGTCCATCGTAGTGTGGACGAAAGCGAAGAAAGCGCCTCAACATAGCGTGAGGCGGCTTACTAAGAAAGAGAGAAAAAGATCAGGTATAAAAAGACCGCGGCATTTTTGTTCTTAATTAACAATTATATGGCTTAGCACAAAAAGCCGAAACATCAGTTCCAATCATTACAAGGGGAATATTTGCGGGATTTTTGTCTATGTTCGGGCTTTTGAAATCACGAAATCAAAATAATAATAAGCCTTTTGTTTTAATGTAAACTATATTGCTTCATATGTTGAATACTTCCTAGAAAATACCATGAATAAAAATAACTGATATTTTTGGCGTATGACTGTCATTGTTTGAAAATGTAAACTTGGTATGTTCAGATTGCATAGCTTGTGTGTTTTTATAGCATCTCTATGAACTATTTACATGAAAGGAATCACAGTTTTCATCCATTTAAAATACTCATGTCGGAGTTAATCTTCTTTTTATACAAATATTACAAGCGGCTACAATGTTAATCCAAGTTACTAAGGCCTTCTATAAAAATCTCTTGTTCTAGGCTGATTCTAAGCATATTTCGTCGAAATTCAGTAATCCCTCAGCAGTCGATTTTTTTTCTCCAAAGAAAAGAGCTTTCCACCTCGTTAAAAAATAAACATAATTATCTAGAACATTCTCCACATATAACTGAAAGTTCCAAACTTGCGATACACAAGCAAACGGATTCCGAACTTGTGGAGAAGCAAAGACTGTCTTGTATGTAGTGTTTCCATCTTAACGGCCTCCTTGGCAACACTCTCGTGCAACGACACATCCCCATGATATCAGTCTCTCAACGTTTTTATCTTCCAACCCCATGCGTGTGGCCCAGTTCATGCAGCGGACACCAAATTCCAAGTCAGAGCCAGTTGAACTCACTTTTGTCTGCAAACCGAAGTAGTCAGAACGTATGAGCTAAGTCTGCATGGCTACCGCGTTTCTGAGTCTTCTCTGAAAGTCCTGATACAGGATGTTACCGCCCTCTGGGACTCTGTAGAGGAACATGTCCATCGTCATGAGACAGAGAGCTTTGCCGTTCATTTGGAATCTGTCTGGTCGGACGCTCCCAAGATTGAAGGCCTCGGACGTCCACTGGAGCCACCGAGTGACATCCTCTCGACTCCATCGCCTTGGATCAGCTGCGTACGTAAAGAGATGCACCTTCTTAATACATGAATACATACAAATTGTAATTTTAAAACGTCAAAGCGTTTCATAAAGCTGTTCAGTTCAAAATTAATAATCAAAATCAAAAGCTGTTCTTTGAAAAACAGTTGATGTAATGTTGTTACCCATACTGTAAGATAAAGGATATTTGACTAATTTTCATGATCAAAACAAATTGCGGTAAAAATAACTGAAAATGACCAGCTTATATATTTTTTGTTAACAAGTTTACTGCCCTTATGAATTATTTACTTAGTTTATTCTTGTCAAGATAGAAAACCGGCTGAAAACTGCTTTATCTTTTAAGTACGCTGTGAGCTTTTTTTTTTCGATCTTTTATTTCCCCTGCAATCATTACAAATTTAATTTCGCACAGATTACTGGCTCAGAAAACTTAAGACTGTTTTTGGCTCGAAACCAGCGAAACGTTACCGTTTTTGTTTGTTTGTTTTTTCAACGCCTTGTCTTTAACGAAAAATGAATCATTACTTCATGTTGTTTTCATTTTCACATTCTTTAAACTTTGTTTACTAAAAGTCCTCAATTTAGAAACTACGTCAATTTAGGGCGAACAATGATCTCAATGAACTTATTTAGTTTACCTTGAAACATAAATCTATTTGGACAAGAAATGGATACACTGGGAAATTCGTGAAACTTCTGAGTTCAAAGTCTGCTTTCGTCTCGCTCACGTTTCATTAATGAACTTTGTAAACTAGAAAATAGGAATATTCGTCAAAAGGTTTTTACATGCCAATACGGTAAAATCAGCTTACTCGAAATGTCGAGCCTTTCCTCTGAGTTTATTGTATTCCGGTTTTAGAACATATATCTCTCAAAAAGATTGTTCTTTACTAGTTCGTGTAAAACTAAGGGAACAGAATGTAGGCTCGATTATTGAATTCATTTAACTTGCTAATTTTCAAGTAAAGCAAGTGATCTGTATTAGTGGGTAGATAATAAATTTAAAATCAGTTGTCTCATTCTAGAATCGCATTTTGATACTTGAAACTTTCATCCAACGAGGACATCCTAGCGATGCAGCACTGAACTGTCGAATAATCGACATACCTTCACTCAACGGTTCCTCTTGGTAGCCACCTTCGAACTTTTCTTGTTTCACTCTGGCCACACTTGGCTGCATTTTGTCGATGAAGCGAGCGTGTTGAAAGACACTCGGTCTTAGAGGAACGGGGTAGGCAAGAGCTGGGTCTAACCTGGGAAAAACACAAGCCATCAATGCGTTCACAACAGATCGAATTCCTAACTGAAAATAAACTAAAGCCGCCTGACCACGTATATGAGCGGATAGCGTGATACAGAGCTTATAAACTCTTTGATGTAACCGGAAATGTTCAATGACTAATTTCCTGTGCAGCGTTGTTTGTATTCTCCGCACGATTCGGGCCT